CTGGTTTGGCGTTTTACCAGCTAACTTGACACACCTGCCAGCGTCTATGCAGTATCTTCCGGTGTATTAATTATCCAGTCAGTGAGGACGTCGTATCAGTTTCTATGTATATTTCATTTCTGAATTAGCTGAATGGTTTTCTCATTTTGCACAACAGCTCTCAGGTTATGCGGACATGTGAGGCTATTAAAAGGTAATGAATGCTTGTACTTATAATATCCACGTCACTATAATTATTATCGCCCATTTAGCCTGAACTACGTCCATCATATAAAATGGACCTAAGCTACTTTTGTCAGCATTTATAATGCAAGGAAAGAACTCTAGTGTTTGTTGCAAGTTTAATTGCTGGCGCAACATCAGCAATTCATTCTTGGGAAAAGCACCATGCACCATGAGCATTTTATTGAAAGATCAATGACTATAAAATGATGATGAAAGCGTTTATTGGGATCCCCTTATGCGTGTGAAAATTGTTTATTATGCAGTGACAATTCAAGACCTCACAGATGGGGAAAAAAAAAAAAAAAAAATGAAAAAAGAAGCTAAAATTAGAAGAAAAAAAAACAGGTGAGTAAAGAAAGACAGCAGTGGAACATTTAATAGCTACAATAAATCTTTTTTCACAAACAGTAAAGATTGAAGTCGTTTCCCCTTTTGCATTTAAATGACAAGGATTTTGTGTATAGAAGAGCAGAACGACATTTTCCTAAAGTACACGGAAGAAAAATAAAAAGCAAACATCCACTTTGGTCAAACATCACGAATGCAACACAACAGGGTCTGAAACATCACAGAAAACTAATAAACTGCCTAAAATACATTTATAATGAATTAGTCAAGCTGTTAGTGGTGATGCAAACAGTGCTCTACACTGATACTGTATCAAATATAAACTGTATAAATACATACACATACATATATATCCATATTTAGTGCTGATCCAGTAATGAAAGCACACTTCCATTTCTATAGCTGGGTAATCTCCTACTTTGGTAACTCCACAGTGAAGCTGCACACGCCTACTGTGTCCTGACTTCAAACATATGCATTTGCAATATTACTTTACAGTATAAGAGTGACAGGTGTTGATGCATGCATAATAACAGTAGTACTCATATATGAAAAATAAAATGTACCCTCAGGACACTTACAGCACGTGTGGTTGTGCTGTAACCAGGAGTGCAGAGAAGTCACAAACAGTGTTTAGAGCTGGAGACAAAACTGCTCAGTTAAAACAAAACCATATATCCATCTTCAGTGTTTAAATCCCTTCTGATGTATTAAAACGTGTCCATAAAGATATTTTCCTAACTAGCCCCAGAGGGTAATGGTGAGGTAGAGGGATACAGTTTGATTGGGTGGTGACAAAAGGCAAATCAGGATACTTTACAGGTACTATCGTAATACTTTAGAGCTAGTATTACACCTTCAGTAGAATATAGAGCACAAACTACAGCAAGCAAACGTAAAGAAAAAATAAACAGAGCAGCAAACACCCCTTTCCTTGAAGCGCGAGCTGCCCTCACTTAACAATCGAAATATTTAGCTTCACATTACGCCAAAGCGTTATATACTAACAAATACTTTGTGTTATGAATACACAGGGATATTCTCATTGCTACTATGAAAAGCAAAGCTGTATTTCACACATTTAAATTCAGTCTGACTGGCTCCACCTTTATGAGAGCTGCTACATAACTGTTATCACTGGGAACCACTTTACTTAAGATTTGTAGTACACATCATGTATTAGTGGACTGCAGGGTGGTACAGACTTAAGGCAGTTGAAGCTCCTGGTTGGGACAAACAGAATCCCATTTTTCTTTCCTGTAGCTGATCTTAACCTAATATCTCCAAGCCGAGGCTCAACAGGAAAAGAAAGACGATTCACCGGAGCATCAGTTTACAAATAAAGAATAATTAACTTACTGATATGCCTGAAATAAAGTGGCCCCAATAGATCGTACTGTTAAAGTACCACGGATCATAAAATATAAAACAGTAAGAAAAGAAAAAAAAAAAGAAAGACAACACATTTTAAAAACCCTATACATATTAACGCTGAAGTTTACAGATAATATCAGAAATATTCACCCTGAACCTTTATACACCAAATTTATTTCAGAAATACATGTAGAGAAAAGACTGATGGGTTAAAATGCATGTCAGTGATTATATGATAATATGCAATATTAGTAGGATTAGTAAATGAAGGTTTTGGTTGCATGTTTTAGCACATGCTCATGCTAAGAAGCACTTAAGGTTTGGCAGCAAGGCAGTGTGGACACACACACACACACACACACACACAGAGTTATGAAGGAATTATTAATGGTAAACGGGCACACAGACAGAAGTGTGACATATAAACACAGAAAGGGACAAAGACAAAGATCAGTCATGTAAAACTCAAAAAGTAAGAAAGTTCATCAAACCATCATAGAATACATGAAATATGATTATATTATCCTCTGCTTCTTGTTACCCGTGACCCTGAACTGGATAAGCAGAAGGTACAAGGATGGATGGAGGCTAAACGCACGCAGTAGCGCTAAGCACAAAGTCATAACATGAAATAACATTCGTAACTGTAATCAGACTATTTTCACAACAGAGAAACATCACAAACCAGCTGAACCAGCCACACAGCAGAATGACGCCGTGATGAGAGAATCATGCAGGGAATCCAGACAGCTGATTGGACACTGGGAGGAAGGACTGCCTGGTCATCGCATGGCTGATTCTCTTCAGCCTGTATGAGAGGCCACCTACAGAAAGGAGAGATATGATATTATGATGTCAGCAGACTCCAGAGAATACACAGGCCTAGTCTTGTTAGACCTTACCTCAGCCTTTGATACAGTCAACCATACCATCCTGATAAACAGACTGAGAGACCTGTTGGGATGTCTGACTGTTCTAGACTGGTTTTCATCTTATATATTTGAAAGGAGCTTTAGTGTGTCTGCAAACCAGATCATGTCGGAATCTACAGAGTTGTTGTGTGGAGTTCCTCAGGGCTCTGTGCTGGGACCCATTCTGTTTTAATATACATTCTTCCTTTAAGCCAGATAATACAGTTTCCTGAAGTATCTTATCATCGTTTTGCTGACGATATTCAGCTATATTATTCTTTTAAGCCTGCTGAAGCTCATAAGCTCTCCAATCTGATTGTCTGTTTAACCAACATTAAACAACGGTTGAACAACAATTGCTTACAGCTAAACTCGGCCAAAACAGAAACTTTCATTATTGCACCAGACAGTGCAATACCTGATATTAAATGGCGAATGGGTGACTTAGTTTCCTTACAGAAACAACCTTAGAAACCTGGGTGTTATTTTTGATGAAGCTTTTTCTTTGGAGGGACATTTAAATCAGATCATAAGAACCTACATTTCTAAACTTAGATCCATCGTGTCAACAAGTGAACTCGAGATGATAATATATGCTTTTATCGCCACAAGACTTGACTACTGTAACAGCCAGTTTACTTGTCTAAACATGAAAGGGCTAGCCCACCTACAGGTTGTTCAAAACTCTGCAGCGAGGCTACTGACCCGCTCGAACAAGGGTGCTCATATGACCCCTGTTTTAAAGTCGCTGCACTGGCCACCAATCAGATTTAGGTTCCATTTTAAAATTCTAGTTTTTCTAGTAGAGCATTACAGAGACAGCCCCCCCCACATTGCTGATTTGATTCGTACACATACCTCCACTCGTCCCCTATTTCTACGGGGTTTGGACTCAGTGGAGACCTTCAAAAAGCAGCTAAAGACATTTTTATTTCAAAAAGCTTTTAATTAGACCAGGGTTTTTATGATGTATTTTATGACTGTATTATGCTTTTACCTTGTAAAGCACTTTGTGACATATGTCTGTGAAAGGTGCTATATAAGTAAACTTTACTTACTTAGAGAAAGGTGGATGTTTTAAAGTTTCGTTATATTTAATGCTGAATTTAATTATTAATAATTAAATTTAATTATTAATAATTAAATTTGATCAGTAGCAGCTATAAGCTGTAGATGCATGAGTGCAGGTAAGTGTAACAGAAACCGAGTGCCTGAATGAGTTACCTGGGAGATGTTTACGCCAGTCATTTTCTCCAACGCCTCAGGCAGCTGGGTCATGATGTCCAGCACCTCTCCTGACAGTTTGGCCACGCCCACATCTCCACCTCCGCTGGATACCATGGTAACTTTTTTGGCTTCACACAGAGGCCTGCTGATCTCTTCTGCCATCTGGTGGACAAATGACATTACAGCTGTTAAAATTGTAACCAGTGAATGTAATAATGTAATCCAGAAGTAAATGCACACACAACACTCATGACTAACAGGCTTCAAATTCTGTTTTTTTATATCAGCGCAATTCTCAAAATAAGAGCAGGAAATGCTTGTTATGATGATGTTATCACTCACCAAAGGCAGTTTCTCCAGCAGCATGTCCACCATGGCGCCCTCCTTGTACTCCTTGAAGGCCTCTGCCTTCTTCACCATCTGCTCAGCCTCAGCACGCCCCTTGGCCTCCACTGCAAATGCTTCAGCCTCACCTTTAACCTGAAGGAGAAATGAGGACGGACTTATTGTACCAGAAAACACTGAATCTCACCTTGTACCTTAATGTTACAGAAATTAAAGTGAATTACAAAAGACATTTACAAATGTTACCTCATACAAAGCGATGGTAGTTTGAAATGCCTCCTCTAATATCTTACTTTTCCATCCATCCATATTCCATTCATTCCCTTTTTTATTGCTAGATTCAGAATTATAGGCATCATATAAGAGGTCTCACCTGGGCTGCATATTAATACTCTTATAAACATAAATCATCATGACTGATTTAGCTCTTTGCCTTCCATCTCCTTATAACCTCTTCTAATTTGGAGTTCAGAGACCCCAAATTAATACTGCACGAGTGTGACAGATTTTTTTGTAGATGTACACCCAAATAATTTACTGAATACTCTGAAGATTAGATTTTTAGATAATATCTCGTATTTAAAAGCAAGGAATTGTATCCTTGATACATTAAGGTGGTATTCAGATAAAGAGCCCCACTGAGCTAGATAATTAATCGGTTTGGGGAGGGACAGGAAAGGTTGCACAGATAATTCAAGATGACATTTGTGGAAAATGCTTTTGTTTTTTCCCCAGAAACAGCTTTGACTCACTCTTATGGACTCAGCTTCAGCCTCTGCCTCCATGATCAGCTTAAGACTGGACAGACAAAAGAAACACAGTCAGCTGGTTAGCAGAGAGATAAATGATTTGACCAGTACAAACATGTCAGCCATGCTCTTAAAATATAAAATGATAGCTCAAATGTTATTCTAACATAAAAAGAAGGATTTAAGTGGACGGATGAAAACTTGCCAAATTACAAACAAACAACAAAAACACACACACGAGGGATTTTTCATGTTTCTTCTTCAGACATATAAACAGAGAAAACACCGAAAAACCTAACAGCCTGTCTGCTTACTGTCGTTCCTGCAGTTTAGGAGGTGAAAATGAACCCATCACTCACCGCTCAGCCTCAGCCAGCTTCTCCAGCCGGTACCGCTCAGCCTCTGCAGGCTTCTTCACCTTGGCCTCCAGCTCTTTCTCCTTGCGGGTGATCTCCTGCTCCTGCAGCATGATCTGCTGCGCCCGCTCAACCACCTGCACCTGCATCTTCTCACTCTCAATGCACTGCTTCGTCTTCGCTACCTGCCAGAGGAAAACAGATCATACATGTATGTCTGTGCA